CACACACACACACATTCACATACAACAAACAGACTTGCTGTGTCAGCTACGGGGCACACTCAAGGTCACCCCGAAATCTGATCTGCATCCCCCGCACATTCCACAGGCTGTTCCTCAAACTACACACACACACACACACACACACACACACAGTCACAAACACGTACTTGAAGCAATTAGAAGTTACATATAATGAATTACTCTAGCTGCAGAACCTTCAGACACAGCTTATCACCATCACTGGCCCTGCAGTTTTGTTTCCTTCCATACTGGCTTCAGCTTTTCCAAAAGACATTAGTGACAGTTTTTTTGCTCTCTTTATGACTGTGTTTATCATGACTTTTTATCTCTAAAGGCTGTGGCTGAACATTATCAGCGTGGTCTGAGCAACACTTCCTCCTTGCTCACTTCCAGTCAAATTTTCTGTAGTGACAGAGGTAGGATGACTGGACTATGTGTCATTGTCTGAATAAAGGACAAACAAAGTTGAACTGCCATTTTTTTTAAATATATGTGTTTAATCATCTGCATATTATTTTCATGGGCACATGCATGACACATTGTGGTGCTGCACAAGTGTGTGTCAGACAGTATCACACACTACTGGATAAAGCAAAAATACTACGACAACAAACTGTATTTCGTTGATTCAGAATACTGACAGAGATGCGGAATGTCACTTGCACACAAGAGTGATTAACATCTGGAAAACAGCCACCAATATTTTACAAATCCCAAATTTGGGAACAGCTGGCAGCATAAACAGGAGGTTAAGACGTCAGTGATTTTATTTTCTCATTAATGAATCAATGCAGATTTTTAAAAATGATTTTTTATGTTGCATATGATCACATCATATCAGTTTAGGAATAACTGGTATAAAACAGTTGCTGACTCTTAAACCTACCTGTATGATCAATATATGGTAATAGATATGACACATAAGCAACAACAAAGGTTAACAAGTTAGAATTTGTTCTTGAATTTATTTAAATGTTTCAAAGAAGGAGGATCTTTGAGAAGGACTTGTATCAGCGATGACTCAGTAGTACATTCAGAGAATGGGCTATGTGACAAATTTTTAAACTGACAACTAAAACCAATTTGTTCCTTTCATTTGTATCTTTCATTTGTTATCCACAGCAACTCTGGATTTATTCTGTGCACTAATGAGTGATACAACCCTGCCATGCAACTAAGGTTGTAATCCAGACAGACACTGGCAATCAATAAAGTGTTATAATACTGGGTTTTGTTTTTCCATCAAGACATAACTGGGAATCAATGTAAAACCAAATTACTGCTATTACCAGTAATACTTTAGGAAAGAAATGTTGACAGGGGAATTTCATATGTAAGAAAATGGAAAGAAAAACTCACAAACTGTTCCAATTAACATGGTTGTTTAACAAGAGCTGGCTTCACAGCACTAAAGCCATTTAATCTGCGAGCTGAGACCTTCATGCAGACAGTTCATCACAGGCAGAAAGCAGGACATGAGAGAAAAGGGAGATAACTTACTCCAGGTGGCCATGATAAATCACCTCCTCAAAGGAGACATCTTCCCAGTGTCTCTAGAGTGCACTCTGACCTCAAGGGGGTCACAGCCAACCTGCATAGGGGCTATACGTACATCCTCCTCCACCCTTTCACCATCACTCTTAACCCCCTACAGGCTTCAAAGGCCCCTGCCACACGAGACACTCACACATGTGCACATATTGTACATGCACACACATGCACGCACACACAAGAACGTGTCTGAGGAGCACATTCCACGCTCTCTTCTCCTTCTTCACTGCTACACCCACATCAGGTCATCTATTTCCACCACACAGCTTCCAGCAACCTGTTCTGTGTTTACCGGCCGTGACCAGACCAGCCTTTGTGGAGGAATGTGATGGTCACTTTGAGGCTACCACCACCCGCAGCAATAATGCCACAACAAATTTATGGAGGGGGATCTGTCTGCTGTAGAACCTGCTAGCAAGAAAAAGTAACTCAACTGTCAGGGATTCACACTGGTTGCACAGAGACTACTTTCCACAGGGGTGTGAATACAACAGAGAGCTGCTATATCCACAACAAAATACTCAAACACAAAAAGGCGCATACACAGCAGACATGGAGACATACTAACTTTTTCTATATTCAAATAAATGCCAAGAACAGAGAGACAGATGCACACTTGCATCATAAAGGAAGGAATAGTTACTGATACATCTTAGAAAACCTTGCATATGAATGTATGAATGATCAGGATAATTCTCTGAACTATATTATAGGCAACATACATATGCACATTCTTTTCTTTAAGAACATTTCTTAGAGTAAATTAGTTTCTATGATTACAAAATTCCTTTCTGTATATATGTACATATATGTTTTTGCCTCCATGACATGCCATCAATTTCCGTTCTTGTATATTCATATATAATTTGTTTTAATATGTTGTTATGAATGTCACAATGCAGTACTTGAAGTACTTGAGTACGTGGCACTCATCCCAACACATATCTCAAGCCTATCTTGTCTTATTTATTCACACTCCTTTGAAGTTCAAGATTTCTTTTAACACCGTCTATCCACAGTGCCCATCAGTTCATCTCACTGCTCGTCTATCTATCCATGTGGTCTGGACTTACTGGAAAAAGCCACAAGCCACTGACTAATGCTGGGCTCCATTACAGACATATTGAGAGACTACAGCCATAGCGCCACCACAATATGTCATTTTACCCCACAATATACCTCTGCCAAAAAAGTGCATAGAAGCTTCTGTTTTTACTCAAGGTTGTTCTAGGTCTCTATAAAACTTAAAACTAGATAGGCTTAAAATTAATGAACCAATTCCACCTGACCCAAGGACTGAATTGTTGAAGTTTCTGTGTTGATACAATCTTGAATTTCCAATACTATGGGGTTTGTCTTGTTAACCAAAACTACAGTATTATAAATCATTATTCAGAAGCTGTAATTTTGAAAGTTTAGAACTGGAGGACTTTGCACTCTAGTGGTCCCTTAAATACTCTCTGAACTCACAAAAAAGTAGTCCTAAGCTTTCAAATCCCACAAGGCAGATATACTCATGTGGTGCATATGAACACTGAACACCTATTACACACACACACACACACACACACACACACACACAAACACACAAACACAATATATGCTCCCATGCCTGACCGCTGGAGCAGCACATCTGCCTGGGGATCAAATTCTGTGTGGGGGAACCGTATCCACATCCTGACAGGAAGCAGCGCACAGGAGGCTGGAGGAGCCCAGTCCTGCCGAGGACCAACTGCTGCTGTTTTGTACTTCTGGACCACTGCACCACACCACACTCTGACCTTATTCCACAAAACTCCACACAGATGTCTTCCAAAGAGTAATAAGTGTCGTTTATGCTACATAACACTTTCTGCGTACTGTATCTTTGCAAAGTGTTGAGGAAACTTTTTGTATGTATTGTTAGATTTTATAAACACGGTTCAATTTAACTTTGAAGTGTTAATCACATAAAGTGATTCTGTGTGGACCCCAAAAGGCCCTGTCTCCTTTTAATGCCATGGAGTCTGAACACTTTGAAACTCAGTATCTCATAAACTGTCTGGTCCGTAAGTTGTCAATAAAATGACATACTTTATTATACAAATATAACAACCCTTACATAAACTTCTCCAAGAACTTCTCCTACATTGCAACTAGAAAGTTTAGTTTTTACAAACTCCTGAAAGTACTTCACTCTTATGTAACTGAATAAGAGCTACAGAAAAACAAATGGTTTTTGGTAAGGACAAAACTAATACCCCCTCTGAGTGGTCCTACAGAGACAAACTCCCACATAGACACACTGACATTTTCAGATATTTGAAGATCGCTGCAAATGAAAACTCTCCTAAGCTCCTCAGAGAGTTCTGTTGATTATACTATACATGTCTGACCAAGAAGACGGCTAAAGTGAACTTCTTGTTGGCCTGTATTTTTCAGTGAGTGTTTCTCCTTGGCTGGTAGTCATATTAGCAGCTAACACATTGGGTTTTCATGGTCACTCAGCAGTTTTGTGTTACAAGCATGAGACAGAGCGAAACCAAAATGTGGATGAAGGAAACGTGCCCAAACCAATATAATTTTATTTAATCATCATAAAAAGGTATTATCGTCATATAACTGCACTGAATTCTTCATATTTCCACTGCAGTGCCACCGGAAGAATGAGGCTAGGGTTCATCTACTCTCTGTGAACCTCACCAGCCTATAGAAACAGGTGGCAAATTGGCCGTGCTACTTAGATTTATGGGCAACCTCCCACATGTTTTACTCATTTGGGAGACCTTTAAAAGATCAGATCACAGAATAAACAGAAAAAGCAACTGGTGGCTCAAGTATTGGTGAAAGAAAGTGGACAGAAGGAGTAAAAACCGTGATAGCCAAACAATGCAGAAAGAGCTTAAGTATGAGATCCTTCCAAGAGGTCTCACAACTTCATTTCACTTATTTGTCAGTCTGTGCTGACAGGAACAAGCAGAAACTTTGCCTGATGTCAGTTTGTTAGAAGAATGAGAATCAAATCTACTCTTCAGAGATGATTCTGTCTGAATTTCACTCCAACTTTCCACATCCTTTATATCTATGTGGTTACTGCCCCTTAAAACTCGCTAAGCTAACATTGGATGAGAAGTTCAACACTTAGCTCAGTCTGCATAGATAAGAATAAAGGAAATTCTCTGAAGAAACATTCATCAGCAGCTGAGGTATTTCATGACCAACTGCGAAAGTTACAGCTAGCTCTGAACCACTTGGTCAGTATGGGATTTTACAGCTGGTCTTTATTTTTGACACACTTTCAGCAAAGCATCTCTTTGTACCAGGATTCAAATCAAAACCCCTTTATGTGTATTTCCTCAACCTCGAGCTCTCCAATTTAGTCATTTTTCAAAAAACCCCAAATATACTGTTATAGCTTTAATTTGTTGACAGTAAAATGTTTGGACATTTTTACTATATGACCCTGACATACAATGAGTACTACAAACACATACATAAACATACATATACAAAACACATATGTATGCACTGTGTATCATACATCATACATTTTAACTAAAGTATACCAGTGAGTATACCAGAAGAGGCCTTGGCAGCATCAGGCAAGCATAAATAGGTTGCTAAATTAAAGAACTGACACACCATCTATCATTTCAGGGAAATCCAGTTGCAGCAAAGAGTCATATGGTGACATTTTCCAGACCATCCCTTAATGGCAATATTTACAAACACTGTGTGCTTGTGTGTGCATGTGTGTGTATGTGTGTGTGTGCGCACCCAGATTTACAGCCCGTCACCCAACTGTGTTCTTAATGTGTTTGACAACTGCATATTTCTTCAAAGGTTAAGCTTGCCCACATAAACCATTGAAATAGGACTAACTAATTAATATTTTCATTATTAATTCATTTGTGGATTAATTTTCTACTGATGCACAAGTAAACGGTGCAAAATGTCAATTACAATTTCCTGACGCCCAAGGTGACTTCAAATGGCTTGTTTTGTCCGACCAACAGTCCAATACCAAAATATTTTCAATTTACTATAAGCCAAAGAAGTGACTTAAATGATTAAGAAAATATTTGCTGATCAATTTTCTGTCAATCGACTAGTTAAAAGCCACACAGAGAAACTTCATAAGAGAGAAGGATCATAAAAGAAAAATTATGTTTATAAACTTAAGAAATAGAAAGTAAAGAAATTGTTAAATTACTATTTTAAAATGCATACACTAAAAAACAGGAAATCCCAAACCACACTTATACTAATGCTCATATTGACCAACAATGTCTTTCTTCTCTCTGTGATCAAAAACAGAACAAATGCACAAGTGTCATCTTCTTGAGGCTGGGAGCTTGTCGACCCTCCCCGCCTGTCACAACCTTACGGGGCACCGCGACACTGTTGGCATTCATCGTAAAAGACAACTGGCTGTCCATCTTCAAACAATTCAAAACATGGACGGAGGGAGGGTGGTTGGGGGTGCAGGGGGGTCGGGAAGGGAGAGGACGGGGCAGATAAATGCACACCCGTTCTCATGGTAGCCCCTGTGGAGATCATAATAGCTTTTGCTCATCATAAATACCACAGGGTAAAAAATAGACGGATAACCTCACAGCTAGCATAGTTAACCTGCAACCTAACAATACTTAGAATAAAATGTGAAAACTGATTTATTGAGCTTCTGATTTCAGAAAAATAAAATGCATTTAACTGTCTCTACTATAATATAAATACCCAAGAAGACAATATGCACACATTTGAGAACAAATCTTTCAGTTTGTTTCTTGTAGCTTTACATTACAGTTTATCGAATGAGTGACAAACTAAAAGCAATCAAATGAAGACCTTGGTCTCAAAACACACAGTAAGATCTTGTGTCCAGCACAGTACTCACCATGAGACCCACGGCTCAGTGATGCCAGCCCAGTCACCAAGAGAACAGCCTGCCAGGCCCACTCCTGAAGCAGCCACACCACCACCATGCCAGCACTAACCCCAGTTGCCCGCCTCCTTCAAATCCCTGAGGTGCTGCCACAACGAACGTGCCCGTGCAAAGAGGCGGAGGTGTGATACTGCGTTTTATATCCTTCCGTGAAAGGGTGCCAGTCCGGTCTTTCTGTACAAGTGTCTCTCTGTGAGTGACTGCCACTCTGCCTCTGTGCACTCTCAGGAACTTCCCACAGCACACAGCCGCCCCGCAGCCTCCAGCACTACTCCACACTGACAGCCTGGGAGACACAGACACAGAGAAAGAAGAGGGGGAGAACAGAGGGGGGGGAGGGTGTTACTTAGTTGCTCTCTCACTGTGCTATTTGTCCAGCCCTTTCAATGACCAGTTCACTACAGAGGGAACAGCTGAGTATATCTGAATCCACGCACAGCCTCTCTCTCCTTCACACACACAGACATACACAGATTCTCACATCACTCATGCACAGAATGGAGAGCAGAATAGAAGGGGGCAACGGGGTGTGAACCAGGGCCATGGATGTGAGCCGGGACTGAATGAGGTGTGAAAGGCAGCAGTGAAAGCATTATGACTTATTGCCACAGGCATACAAACACACAGCATGCCAAGAGGGACACAGAAACTGCTGTAAGAACTAAGGCATATAAACTTACAGAGGACATGTACATGTACTTTGCTAAAACCACATGGTATCAAATCCTGCACGGCAGAGCAAGTCAGAACTCAAAACTGTTTGATGTACCGAACTCAGAACAAAACTTTTACGTGTTGTTGGTGTGAATGGATCAACAAGAGTTATCCATCCTGGCTCAGCAACACTGTTCCAAGTCTTTTTAGTTTATGTATGTTTGACACTGCTCAGTTGCAAAGATGTTTTAAAATGAATTTAGAGTAAGTT